AACGCCTGTGGGCAACAAAGTCCCACACAGCCAGTCGCTCACCCTCCACTCCCTCTGGTGGGATGGGGGAGAGACTCAGAAAAGCAAAAGTAAGAAAATCGGTGGGTTGAGATAAGAACAGTTTAATACTTAAAATAAAATAATAATAAAAAATAGTTGTAATGAAAAGTAAAACAACAAGAAAGAGAGAGGAACAAAACCCGGGGGGAGGGGTAGGGGGGAACCACAAGTGATGCAATTGCTCACCACCCGCTGACCGACACCCAGCCAGTCCCCGAGCAGCGATCGCTGCCCCCCAGCCAACTCCCTCTGTTTATATACTGAGTATGACATCATATGGTATGGAATATCCCTTTGGCCAGTTGGGTCAGCTGTCCTGGCTGTGCCCCCTCCCAGCTTCTTGTGCACCTGGCAGAGCACGGGAAGCTGAAGAGTCCTTGACTAGCGTAAGCACTACTTAGCAACAACCAAAACATCAGTGTGTTATCAACATTCTTCTCATACTAAATCCAAAACACAGCACTAGGAAGAAATTTAACTCTATCGCAGCCGAAACCAGAACAGCCTCGCCAACCTGGGGGCTGGAGATTCTGTTTGTGCAGACCTATGGAAGGTAGAGAAGGTCTGTTTTTGGGAAGGCATTCCTCCAGCAGGCACAAGCAAGCTCCCATCCTGCAAGAGCAGCCAGAAGCTCAAGCTCTCGTTTCCCATTTTAACAGTAACTAGAAGAGCAGCACATGGTGTTGGTAACCAAGAGGAAAGGCGTCCTAGAAATCAACACAAAACCAACCCCCAAAGCTGGCGACAGCCTCTGCATCGCAGTACACTGAACATGCAGTGCTGCAGCACCTCTTACCTCTCGTGAGCTGGGCTGTTCTGTACTGTTCCTCTCTGACCTGTTTCATCAGCTGCAGGTTGTGATCGCTGGCTTCCTTGTGGTTCACCATTGGGAAGGGGTAATCTTGACCTGGTGCAACATGGAGACAGCAGCCTTTACGGAACTAATCAAGGACGTTTCATTGGATTTGCACCAGGGCAAATGCTTGCAGCTTTTCTTAAAATAAATGGCATCTAAGACAGATCACCTGACCCACTCTTCAGAAGTGCCTGTTTCTCTCCATCAAAGAGTAAGAGCTCCCATTTAGACATAAGCTTATAAGAGACTTCAAAGCTTATAAGAGACTTCAAAGATGCATTAGAGCAAGCGTAAAAGCACAAAATGTTCAGATACTATTTAAAGACAGCCAAGTATCCGAGACAGATAAATGCAAAGGCAACAACTTAGAGTGATCCGATAGTTTTAGGACATGAAGTTGAGGCAAAAATGTGTACTCTGAAATTAGACTCCAGTAAAAAACTTTAAAGGAGAATTGATAGAAGGCAGACTGCTGGATTAATCCATTTTCAGAAGATAAATGCATGACTTGTGTTGGAAGTGTGATGCTTCCATAATTACATATGCATGTAATTATTTTGGGCAGCAAAATCCTTAGCAAGGTATCCGAATGAATTACCTATGATACACCCCGCTTGCTTCTGCTCCTCTTCAGATGCTGTCCAGGGCTCATAGATGTACTTGGAGGGAAAGTTCTTTAGTATAGGCAAGTATTTCCTACAAAACAGGAATAATACGGGTTTTTATAATCCTGCAGACAAATACTCATACATTTAAGAGAAGTGTAAACCAACCTATGCCATATTAATTCTTGGTGATCATATCGATACTACAATCCACGGGAAAGTTCTCATTCATTTTGCAAAAAAGAACTGTTTTTATGTTATGAAACCCTCTGTAGGGTGGTAGCTTCCAAAAGTTAACTTCAGGGCAAAGAATAAATGCGTTGATTTAAACATTACTTCAGTTTTTAGTTCATCCAAAATATTTTGGTTTTTAACATTTTCACTGACATTTCATCCTAAACCTTAATAAATTTCAAAAACAAACTAATTAGAAAAAAAAATCTAAAAAATTCTTACAGAACAGAAAAGTAATTTTCTGCCCCACTCTGTCAGGTATGTCAGCATGGGCTTCCCCTTGACAAGACACAAAGCTAGCCAGGATGTGAGGAAAGGAGATGTGGGGAAATTGAGTTGTTTGCTCAAACATCAACACAGCCTGCTCCTATTGCAGTCCGCTGTAAAATTACCCACTACTTATGAGAAAGCCCATCAATACCTTATCTAGAGATAAGGAAACTGAGACTTTGAAGAAAAGAGGACTCACTCAGAGTGGAAAATAACACTTAAGTGCCTGAAATGAATCAGACCGCCTACAAAACCAAGAAACACAGCACAGACTGGAGCTGGGGGGAGCGGTGGGAAGTTTTACTCAAGTCCTTTAGAAAGAGGAGTCAGCCTGGTGAACAAACATGGTGCTGGAGCCGACAGGTGCTCACAAATCAACACAATGCCCTGCTCACCCATCACAACTATGGGTATGTCTCTCTGCTTCTCTGTGCCTCAGTTTCCTTATGTGTTAAATAAAATCATTGCTACGACCCCTGTTTCACAGGGGTATGTGTTTCAAACGGAGCGAGTTCATCAGCTCCTGCTCTGAGAGGAGCCAGGGAAGCACTAACGGAGCAGACGGTGCCATGCTGTGCGTCGCCCTACCGGATGTACTGCCCCTCGGGGTCCGTGCGCTTCCCAAAGCGGACAGGGCAGAAGATCCGTGTGTACTGGTGGAAAAACGCACTGGCCGACAGCCACATCCAGTTCCCAGCGTTGATGCTGTAGTCAGCATCTAAAAGCAGCTCTTCAAACACCTGCATTTCAGGGACAAGAAAAAGAGGAACACCCCTGAAATGGCTGCCTTCGTGGCAAAAAAAAAAATATCAACCAGGCTGGGAGATGAAGGGTGAAGCTCGGCCCTGTGCTGGTCTGGGCTACCTTCTCACGGGGCACACAGGGAAGGCTCTCCAGCAAGACAGTTTGCCAGAAGGAAGCCAGAGCAGGACCGAGTGATAGAGCAATCCAAAGCCCAAAGGTCTGGCTTTGAGGCCTGCTGCAGACTGAGCAGGTCTCCAACATCCTCATCATCCAAAATCATCAGGCCTTGGGGATGGGAACAACCTCTCACCGCTGCATCCAGCGCAGCAGGGCTCAGACTCGAGCGAGAGACCACGGGATTTCATAAACCATGAGATTTCTAGTGAGGCTCAGTAACGAAGCACTGCTCTACAGTACCACCTCCCACTGCCAGGCTCACGTTTTGCAGGCGTTTCTCAAGGTCAGCCAGAACAGAGAAAACCAAAAACCAGAACTGAACCTTCATGCCCTCTTCCCAGCTGATCCAAAGGTCCCCCCGCGTCAGGAAGCAGGCAACAGCGTGCCGAGCAAGGTGATGGATCCAGCCTTCCTGGTGCAGCTGGGTCATAATCGCATCGATCCACGGGAACCCCGTCTGTGCCTGCAGCAGAAAAGAAACATCAGCCCTCCTGCATGAAGCTTCATTACACTTCTTTCCTACACACTGCTGTAAGCCCCACCTCAAATAGCCAGCAGGGGACAATCCCAGGGCAACAGAAAAACTCTAAACTGAAACACAGCAGTTGTGGCAATGCATCCTGTTACCGTTTTCCATTTGTGGAGGCTCTCTGCATCCTCATACCAACTGATCTGAAGGCAGATGGGGTTCCCAGCCATTTTGGTGAAGTTTGGTGTTGCTGATGCCACCGTATAGAAGAATTCCCTCCACAGAAGCTGCCCTTGGAGCGACACCGGGGGCAGAGAGTGATGTTTGGCCTGCGAAAGACACATGAGGTGAAATCTCCAGTTCATCTATACCATTGCAGTCTCGCTCATTTTGTGACTGTCAGGCCCATAAAATAAAGATTAATCTAACTACACTACTGCTTCATGGCACTTTATCATGAAACCCAAAGAAATCAAAGATCTGAAGCAATGCTATATGCCCAAAAGCAAAGGTGAACTCTGTTAGACCTCAGTGTTACCTCAAACATTCTCCATCTACCTTCCAAAATGGTGCCACACTGGGATTTCTTATGCGTTTATTAACATATTAACTGCTCAGCTAGCTGAATTCAGGTAGCTTAGCCATGTCTCAAGAGATATTCTTAAGAAGGAGGTTCAGGGAGACCTTGGTTTTCTTGGGTTGTTTTCAGCCATACTTTTTCTTAAGAATCAAACAAGTTTTCAGAAGTTGGTTTTGGCTTATGCTATAGTTAAAACTTGTCTAAGATGAAAACAGATGCTTTCTAAAAACAAAACTGCTTGAACAGGCTAAACTGATCAAAAACTTCACTTAAACATCAGGCAGATGTCTTGAACTCCTTGAATTTTAGGAGGGTTTTCCTGGGCTTCCCTGCTGCTTCCAGGTCTCATTGCTCCCTATTTATCATATAAAATTTAATTGGGAAAAGCTCTATACATTCACAGGTGTTTCACACAACATATAAAGCCACTCACAGATTTCATAGGACGCTGTGAGAAGACATTAGCAAAGTAGCATTTTTTGATGCACCACGTCTCTACCAAGATGATCCGAGTGTTAAATCCTAGCCTCACATGCCAGACACGTGAGAGTGCTGGATTTGCTTAACTATGACCAATTATTTTCTTACCTGAGCATAAATGTTGGACAACCTATAAAAAAAGGTGCGAACTGACAGACAGCCCAGACTGAAATATGGACTCAGGCCTGTGGTGCTTGGAAGCAGCGAATTTGGGATTGTTCTCGGTTTAGTAAAACTTGTCACCCAGCCCTAAAATGAAAACAGAAATCCAGGTTCAGGCAGTACAAGGTGACACATGTCCAGCTAATGAAACAGGGAAAAAACTCTTGGCAATTGGCTTCTGCATCACAGAGGTCTGTTCAATGTCATGCCTGGAAAATGCTCCCACTGCCCATCCTCCCACAAATGCCACCATCAAGGACAACAACATCTTGAGACCAGGCTGCCATCCTTCTCCAAGATCTCTAAATAGACCTCCTCCAAGCCCAACGTCAAGCCCACGTCTCACCCGTGGGTGCTGTGAAGCCCTGCTCTCCCCAGAGAGCCGGGTGACTTTGTAACATGGGGAACAGCTCTCTCGGTCCAGCAGCATCGCACTGAAGATCTTTTCCACTTTATGAAATTGGGAGTGGGTAAAGCATCTGCTTAAAAGCAGCCAGCACTCAAGGCAGGCTTGGCTGCCAAGAGCTAAGCCCTGGCAGGGAAAAAATCAGCTAGAGCTGGAACAGCTGAGCGGGTTCTTGACGTCCAGACACAACCACACATAAAAGGAGCAAGGTGGACACTAACCGCAGCCCATCTAGAGCCACCCTCATCACCCATGTAAAATCAAGGCTGACCTGGTCAGTCAAGTGTTGCTCCAGGCGCTGTAGCCCTTCGGTCTCCCCTCCTCTCCAGGGGGAAAGGCTCTCCGGGGGGATCTTCAAATCCACGGGGAGAGGCACCCTGTAACACTCAGCCAGGCCCAGGTCAGGGGGCCTACATCTCCTAATGTGAAAGAGAGGCCTCTTTCAAAGAGGGAACCGGAGCCAGAAGAGGGAGGAAGACCCCTGCCCTTGCACAGGCCACGATCGCCTCTGTGGCAGCACAGCCAGAGCACAGGGGAACGAAAGCACAGCCAGAAACCCCAGGCTGCACTCTCCTTGGGGAAGAAAGAGCTCGTCCTGCAATCGCTCCAGGTAATTCTAGCCTAAATTGGGGAAAGAGGAACAGACCCACCAAATTACAGCTGCAGCCCCCACAGATCAGACACCCATCCGCTACATAAGGCTCAGAGGCACCTCCTCTCCAGCTTCCCCCAGCTGTCTCATCCATCCCTGGGGGGGAGCTAAGAGCCTCCTCAGACTCTAAACGTAATTATGGGGCACTGGCACTACCTCCAAAAGCCGCTCCAGCTCCCGTGACTCTGAGGAGAGGTCGCTCTGGGAGAGGTTTCATAGGGAAGGAGACAGATCAGCTCCCTGGGCCGCCTCCCCAGCTGCTCCTTCCTAACCAAGGTGGGGGTTCTCCAAGCCCACACCTCTGAGCAGTCCCCCCACATCTCCTCCGCAGCCTCAGCTGCTGAGGCTTCCCCAAGGCCTCTGCCCCCTGTGAGGCTGGAAGAGCATCAGGGTATGGTTTCCCCCCCCGTAAAACACAGAGGAGAAGGTTCAAGGAAGTGTCAGTGGTATGCAGACTTAGGATCATAGAATCATTAAGGTTGGAA